AGAAGTGGAGAGAATGAAGGCAGATGCCTTTCAAGTACCTTAATCTCTTTATTCTATATTTCAATGTATTGATTGTGGAAGAAACAGATGCAGGATTACTTAGTCCTGTTGTTTGTAACATTGCTCTTCTGTATTGCTATGCTGCCTTTTTCTTTACTGCGTTCTCTTCACAGTGGGAAAATGTTTATACAATCCATAAATACGCTGCCAGGGGATAAAAGATCACAGGCAGATGGCATTATCCTGCAATAAGAAAGGGTAACAGCAGCTGGAATTCGCTCCAAACGGAGAAAATATTTTGTGAGACACAACTGGGAACTCTTTAGGAAAAGCACAGAAAAAAGCAAAGCAGAAATGAGTCAAGACTTTTTAGCCACAGGAACACAGAAATTTGCAACCAGAAAGATATCTTGGATAGCAAAATTCAGTTTTGCTACAGTACTTTTCTCTGGGTTGAGTGGTGGTAAGAGGGTGGGTGAACAGGTGAGCAGTATTGAAAGAAAACTGAAAGTATGAAGCAGCAAAGTGGTGTTTATGCAAGAGCAGGGAGGTGAATTTATTCTTATGTGAGACTGAGGGCAAATGGTGAGAGAAGGCAGTAAGGTTTTATGGGGCTATGGGTCTACCCTCCTCTGCTCCACCCTTTTCTTGGACTGGCTTCCCCGTTATCTCTGAGACCTTCCTGCAGTCCCTCTTCTTCTGTAAGGAGCCCTCCTCACCGCATCAGCCCTTACTTGCTTTCCTTTGCCTCCCAGGCTGGGGAATGTAGGAAGGGAAAGTAAAGGGCCAAGGACCAGGCTGTGAAGGGGTGCAGTTTGGACAGGAGTCGGCCCAGTTGGGCTTTCTCCTGGTTTTGGGGGCGATGGGGTGAAGGCAGGACGCTGTCTACTGGTTCTTTTCCTGCTGGGATGGAGCTGCCTTTATGTCCCAACTTCCCCAGAGTAGAACCTATATCTCTCTTTCCCCAGTAAGAATCCCATTAGAAAGCTGTATGGGCAGCAGTGAGCATTTCAAACTGGAACAGCCCATTCCGTGCCCTTGGGCCAGTCAGCGAGTGAGCCTTCAGTGCCCTGCAGGCAGCTGTCTCTCACCTCTGCCTCTGCTTAGGCCAGCTCCAGAAAGGGGTTCTTTCTCTTTGAACTTTTGGAACTGTTGGGGGGTTTTTTTGTGTGGTTTTATTTTTTTAGTATGCTATAGAGATAGTGGGAAAAGCACATGGAAAAAGCCTCCTCCCCCTCCCGCCCTTGCATTTTCCACTACACTGAATGCCAAGATCTGGGGTCACTGGATTGGACAGGCCTTCACTGATGACAGTTATAGGAAATTATGCATGGCCATGGCATTCCCCTGGGAACTTCCCCCTGCAAGTTTTGCTCAGCCCTCAGAGCACTGAGGGTAATGCATGTAAAAGAATCTTCTCTCTTTTGTTTATGTTATGCATTTCACAGCATCTTGGATGTAATTCACCAATGAACACAAGAATTCCTTCATAAGCAAGCAGCAGCATGAAAAATTACACGTTTTTCTAAGCCTCTTTAAGAAAAAAAAAAAGAGAAGAAAATGTATTTGAAAGACATTCTCAGATTTTTTTTTCTTTCCAAATAATCAAGTGTCCTTTTAGACTAGTTTCAAATGGGAATTAAGTATTTTAGGGAGCTCCTCAATACAGATTAAAAAACAATCCAAACCAACCCAACAAACCCTGCAGAGTATTGTAATAGAAGCATTTATACTATGAAAGATTGATTTGTCACATATCATACGAATGTCTGCCAGCAGTATGTAAAATACCTCAGCAGCCTGGTTTAATGATCTGCCACTTGCTTTGCTCACTTCATGTAGCTCCGATTTGTCCTTCTAATGAACAGCCTGGAAAGGATACTCTTGACTTCACAAGACCTCTGTACTTTCATGCTTATGCCAAAACAGCCTTACAGTACTGTTTTAAAAGAGAGAACTATATGCCAGAATTAATGAATGCCAAAGCCATTTGCTTCTGTTCAAGCAAAAAAGTTAATAAATAAAATTTTTCATCCATAAACTAGAAAAACGTGTCATAAACCATGTAACACCATGAGAGATCTTACACTGGCGCCAATTGATATAAATGCTAAAATACATTACAGCACAATGTTGTGTTATCTTCTCGGTAGAAATGCAGCCTTTCACTGAGCGGAAGAGATTAATTCTGAAAGAGGACCAAACCCAGGCAATTCACCAGCACAACACAGGGCCTGTTATCACTGGAATGTCTTGCTTCAGTCCACTATGTTGAGTTGTGCCTTCTGGGCACCACAGGCCAACTAAGGAGCAAACACAGATTTCTTTAGAGGGTGGCTTGCAGATTTGTCATAGTATCTGCATAGTTGTCAGAGGTTTGTCCAGTTATCACTGCTTCATTTAAGTGACTGGTGATGTGTTCTGGGAGATGGGCTGTATTTTATGAAACCAATTTATTTTGTTTAAATTATAAGGGAAAACATACTGTATTGTGATTTTTGTTAACTCATAGTTAACTTGGGCAACCACTTGCCTGTATGATAAGGACAGCTACGTTAAGAGGCTAGCTCCTAGTCTGTACTTCTAAGAACTTTCTGCCTGATGAGATACAAAGAATTAAAACCCTTTTAAGGTATTGGTAAATAAAGTCTTCTGTGTTAAAGTGTACAGCTCAAGTAGGAAAGTTGATATTTTCCTGATAAGGTTTTAGAATATTGGAAAACTGTTTGAGAAGGAGCAAATCTTAATTAACGTGAGACAAGGTAAGTTTTATTTGTGTTAGGCCACAAAAGGGTTGTTGAGCTAAGAGGTACTTCCTATGCAGGGTGCAGTTCTAAATTTCTACAGCGTGCTCTTCACTGTGATACCAGGGCAGCAGGATAGTCCCTTTGTCTCAAAATTTATGACATCATTCCCACACACATATATAATTCACACATCAGCCATGTTTCAGAGCAGTGATTCTTACTTGAGTCCTTGGAGCCAGGGATAGAACATCTACAAATAAAACATCTCTGCTCACCCCATTAAGAACAGCATCAAGAGATTCTTAGCAGAATTCCATCCATCTACCAAACACATCCCATGGAACCAAAAAGTAAGTATTTCACAGACTAAGATTTTTTAAGTCCATAGACATTTGATTACATTGAGATTTTATTACATTCCAATCAACTGCTACCACCACAACAAAAAGTAAGTATCATTTCAAGACAGGGTCTTGTCACAGTGTATAGACACAAAGTATTTTATTGCCCCTTATGCTCCCTGATCACATAAAAGTAATTTAATTGCAAAATGTCAGTTTTATTACTAATTTTCCAGTGGTGTTTCTCACAAGTAAGTTCTGTGCCCTGCCTCTTTGCTTTGCAAAGCAAACTTACGGAGCAAGAAATTACATTCTGTATTCTCTAAACAGTGTATTTAACTTATGCAAATGAAAGCTGCTTTTCCTATTATATCATCAGTCATTGAGGAACAAAAATTAAGGAATAGGAAAACTCATCTTTTAGAAATAACAAAAAGTCTTAATTGTAATCAACATTTTCTTCCAATTAAATTTATTTTCATGTACGTTCTACTATAGTCACTGCTGGTTTTTTTCTAAGGTGCCATAGATAAGTTACCCCTCCTTTTTCTTGAGGAGCCATAAATAAGTTACTGTAAAATCACCTAAATTATTTGAAGTGTTCCACTCACAGCAGTCTTGTGAAGCAGGCCAGTATTCTCCTTAGTTTACAGATAAAGGCATCTCAGCTCTCTTGGCTCTGGATCATTACATTCTTCATAAATGTAACTGTTCTATCATTTTTAGACTTAGAAAACCTGAAAACAAAGAAGTGAGTTTTCCTCAGCCACTCTTTGCCACATTTGACTGAGACCCAGAAACACAGCCCTGATCCCCTTGCTTAACAGACATTATAGGCATCAGACTACACAATTCCTTCGGGATCTTCCATCCTGAGGACATTGTCTCCATTCTTTGCTTTACAGCTGAACTCTGACTACAGCTGGGAATCCCAGCAACAGTGATCATTCACTCTCCTTTCACTGGTCAAGTGTGGGAAAATTGGGAGCCTCAACAGTGGAAAACATAACTACTTCCTCCCAGAAAGAGAGCATGTTAATTAGCCAGCACTCCCAGGACAAGACCAATAGGCTATGGCTCAGGTAAATGTAAACACTAATATACATATACACACACCTAGCAGCCTATAAACTGCTCATATACAGTATTATGAACTGAAAACGTATATAAGCATAGGACTCTTACTGTGAAGGCCACCACAGCACCTTTGCAATAACCATTACTTCGTAAAGACATCTGGTCTACTCTTGTAGTTAGTCTTGTAAAAATATATGTAAATCTTGAAATACAAAGCAAAGTTAAGCACAAATCCTGGAGCTCATTATCAAGATCTATGCTCATTTTTCTTAACATTATAAAAAAAGATAATTTAATGAATTAAAAATATTTTTCCATTCACAGTAGTAATGAGCAAATATTTCCATTTAGTGATTCTGTCCTGGTTTTGGCTGGGATAGAGTTGATTTTCTTCCCAATAGCTGGCACAGTGCTGTGGTTTATATTTAGCATGAAAAGAATGTTCATAACACACTGATGTTTTAGTTGTTGCTAAGCAGTGCTTACACCAGTCAAGGACTTTTCAGCTTCCCCTGCTCTGCCAGGTGCACAAGAAGCTGGCAGGGGGCACAGCCAGGACAGCTGACCCCAACTGGCCAAAGGGCTATTCCAGCCCATATGGCCATACCATGCTTAATATATAAACTGGAGGGAGTTGGCCAAGGGGGGAACGATCGCTGCTCAGGGACTGGCTGGGCATTGATCAGCAGGTGGTAAGCAATTGCATTGTGCATCGCTTACTTTGTATATTCTTTTATTATTATAATTATTTTTCCTTTCCTTTCTGTCCTATTAAACTGTCTTTATCTCAACCCACAAATTTCACTTCTCCCCCTCCCCCCCCAGTTCTCTGCCCTATCCCACTGGGGAGGGGGAGAATGAGCAAATGGCTGTGTGGTGTTCAGCTGCCTGCCGGGTTAAATCACAACAGATCCATACAGACATATCCACCTTCTGTATCACAACCCCTCCTATTATGGAGATTATGACACAGTTTACTGTATACTGTATTAAGGTATAATGTATAACTGTGTTATATAACATGTATTATACAGTATATTGTATATGTATAATACAATAAAAGTTTATAATACATATTGTTATACATTTACTATTTAATACAGCTCTGTAGCAATGCAAGTGCAGCTTCAGATCTTACCACCTAATGGTTGGGCTGTACAGAATTCCAGCATCACAAAACTATAGGTTGTGCCTTGACAGTTTTTAAGTCAAAGACTTTGAATACTTATATTGTACTTCAGGAACTCTGACAGTTTTTCATTTCTACTATGTAAGTTCTGAGCTCAGATGATTTCAGTGTCCAGGTTTTATAAATCAGAGCTGAGGTCAGCACCACCAGCCACGTTCGCATTGGGGAGAGGAAGAAAGCCAAGGTCCCATAGGTTCTCTGCAGGAAATAGCAGGAATAGACCTGCCAGGCCAGGAGGAGAGCCATCGCCAGGTGAACAAGCACAGCCATGAGGCGTCGGACATGCCGGATGTGAGAACAGAAGCTGTGACCTTGGCATCGCAGCAACAGGCACCAGCACAGATAGGCCATTAATGGCAGGTTGAAAAACAACATCTGAAACGAAGAGCAGAGAAAAATAAGACCACGAGCAAGCCAAGTGTTCTGGGTAACCTACATGAGGGCGTGGAAAGATAGGATAAAGACACAGCACATGAAGCGGTCCCATTGTAAGGGCAGAGTAAGATTCCCAGAGCTGGAAGCTCAGGATGCACTTCCAAGACTCTGCAGCTGATAGACCCGTGGCTGCCTGTGCCTCAGTCCCAGGCCAAGCACTCCTGCCCGCTCCCTTGCAGTGGGAGGTACTGACATGCATCTGACCTTCCTTGGAGCTGGTTCAGGGAGCTAGACTTGGCAAAATACTAGCACAGTAAAAAAGGAAAGTCCTTATGTCAGTTTAGCTCTCTGACCCAGCCCACTGTGGTGTCAGACAAGTGTTAGCACTGGCATAAGGGAGGGACAATGAAGGAGGCAACACGGGCTTGGTCTGGCTTAAATGCCAAGGAACTACACCCTCTCTTTCAGATTAATGGCAGCTGGGAAAGCCAGAGGGCAGGCAGGTCAGACTGCTGGGAAAACTGGACTCTGTACTTGGAGAGTGACACCTACTGATCTGAAGTGTTATTCAGTGTGCAAGGGCTGCCCTGTCCATTCAAGGTCCTTTTGCTTAATCAACCTGCGCATGAGCCAAGGACAAAACAAAAATTTAGAGTGGTAAATCTGTAGAGATGGCCTCGAATCCAGACATCCAGGGAGTCCAAAGCAATGTCAAATAGAGGAAAAGAGAAGTTTGAGAAAATAATGCACAACCTCCTTCATTTATACACTTTAAATTTGCACAAGGGTGAGAAAGAGCTGTGTAGTCAGGCATGGCCACTAATCTTTTCTATCCTTCCCAGACTCCTTTCTTCATAAAATTATTAAAGAAATCGGAAAAGATTCTCAGAAGAAAGCAGTTTGTCAGGCTTAATTTTTATAAATCTGTACCTGTAAAATCCCAACCATAAATGTAAGACTGCCCTGTAAGAAGGTACCACCGACGAACACTCCAAAGGAAAAACAGGCCCCCACCTGGCCATCTACCAGTTCACCTACAAACCATGGTCCTGGAAGAGAGGAAACCAAACAGACAGTACCATCAGAAAATACAATATGGCCCTTTTTCACATGGCCCCTTGTCCTCCTGAGCACAAAGTGGTTAACTGGGGAAAATGAATTCTCTATTGCTTGTCTATAGTAATAAGCCTAATGTTTTCATCTTCAACTAACAACAATTTGATGAATGTTCCCAACGTGAAAATATCATGGTGCACCAATGAGTTGTGACATGCAATGAAAATACTTTTAAGCTGGTTTCATCTCTGTGATAATTTTCAGCACCACATGTAACATTTTCCTTATGAGAGAAGTGAAAAGTTAGATTCTTTCAAATGCTGGCCTTTCCCCAGAATTACAGTAAAACATATGAAAGACATGGTCATAAAAAATTTCAGTATGGCTCAGCTTAGAAGTCAAAATGGGGAGGCTGCACTATGTTATGCATACTACAGTGACTGCCAAGAAAGTAGCTATTTTAGTAACACATTATCAGAGGAGAAATAAGCTAAAATTGTTAGCATCAGAGCTGAGGTATCTTCGTGATGTGTCATGTGAAATGTACATTCCATATACTCATTTTACACCAAGGTACAACCGGATCTTATTCAAAGAATAAGTGAAAACCAAATTAAATTTAAAAACACTCACTTTGCTTTCAGAGTAGTTGAATAATTTAAGTGTTTGTTTAATTAATTCTAGGGCTTCTAAGTTAGGCTCTTAAAAACAAACCTTTAGTCTCTTTTGACATTCTTTTCAAGTTTCACATAAATTTTGTAACTTAAGTAGATTTTCCCCGTTCTCCGAGATGTTAGAATTCTCATTTTTCATCAGGATCTGATGTGATGTGTAACTTAAAAATACTAATTTATGTCCTCCAGTACTCTAAGTTACTTACCCAGAGTGGTGTATAAATTCAGAACCAGAATTGAATAATAGAAGGCGTTTGTTTTACTGAAGACATGAAGGGAATACGAGGTCAGAGTAAGTAATCCTGGCTTTTCTAAACAGAGACAACATTTAAGAAAAATACACTTGATTCAGGTTGCAACACACATATACACACATACAAATATTGGTCTTTCTGAAACAAATCTGCATATTATTTACTCATTCTATTAAATAAGAAATATAAAAATACTATCTGGTATGTCTACAGAACAAATGCAAGGGAATGCATTTCTACTATTACTGTGATAACTGAAAGTAAGGCACTGATAAATATAACAATCTATGTTAAAAACAGCAGAAGCAGCTGCCATTCTAAATAAGTAAACTTACTGTATGTAAATAAAACTGAACGACCATTCTATACCCAGAAAATGAAGTTAGCTAGAATGAAAAACATGGAGAAAGTTCATATTAAATGAAATGCAAGAGATTCAAAGCAGTAACTGTGCAAGCTCAAAAAGGCAGGTAACCAGGGACTAGATTTTCTTTGATTAAACTGGATTTTCTTTGATTAAACCTTAGTGAGATCTGATAGTAACTCGGATACAATGAAGAATAGGTGTTAAAATGGCAGCATTCTGACAAGTGTGTGATGTTGGCCAGAAAAAAAAAAAAAAAAGCAAGATTCATTTTCTAACTGAAGCAGGCAATTCATAGATTGAGATCAAGAGAGCCTTCCTATAAAAGCTAGCCTTTAGGTTTCACCTGTTATATAGCTGCCCTTCTCACAAAGCATTAACTCCCAGAGGGCAAGCTTGACCTTTGGAAATCAACAAATTTGTTCACTAATTTGTAAAACATTTGTCATGGTATTCAGGAAGCTAGCTGCTCAGAGTGCTAGCTCTTTTCATTTTTAGCTGCTGAGTTCTATAAAGGCAACTGAAAATCTATTCTATGTAAGCAGCTGCTGTAGTTACCTCGGGATGCTACACTATTATGAGTATAAATGAAACGACATACGCTGACATGAATAGGAAGGGAGGTGGCTTCCAGAAAAATCTCATTAGTAAGGTGTGGTTCAAACAATTGTTTGAAGGATAAACACCACAAGCTTAACAGTATTAATTTTCATTTACCAGATTTATCACAAACAAAATATCAAGTTATGGCAGAACTGATCTTAATATTATTTTGAAAAAGACCCAAGCCTGTTCACGTTCTTTGCAAAGATTAACAAAAATTATTTTTGCAGAAGGAAACCTGTTTCTCCACTCAGGTGACAGAAAATTCTGTGCCAGCTGTAGTGAAACAAGCACACATACAGAACTAATACAAAACAAAGCATTCCTTTCCCTATGCACTGGATTCTTCAGTGAAAAAATTAAAGTTAAACCTTTAGACTTCAATTAATTACATTTTTGTTTAAACAAAGATGCCTGGTCAAGGTTTTAGTTTTTAATTTACTGCATTTGATATATCAGAGGTTTTCTGGGTCCCCTTAAAAGCAAAACAGCAGCTTCTGAGAACCCAATCAAAACGTGTATGGTGTTTAACAGCGCAATTACTACATCTATTGTTAGCATACAGATAAATAGTAAAAAAAAAGTTTAGGGAAAATTAGATCCTCTAAAACCCCCAAACACTGGTTCATACCTTTGAGTGCTGGCTTTTGGAGGTATCTGAAAATAACGAGCAAGGCGATCTGAATCAGCACAATCAGTCCAAAGAGCACACGAGCCTGAAACGACAGTTTCAACTCTAAGCCAGCCCTGGAGTAGTAGCTGCCTGTGAGTGTGCCTTGTGGACATTGATAGAGTGATACAAAGATTTCTACCTGAAACACATATTCCAAGCTTGATGGTGTCATTGAACTGAAGAGTAAAATTAAACTTAAGACTTGTTTCTAAATTGTTGGACTTGCATCTTATTGACTTGAATTCAGCTGGATGGCTGAAACTGATATGCCTGGGTCTTTCAAAAATGGGGCTTGTAAAACACATCCATTGAAAAAGTGTAAATACACTTCCCACATAAAACTTTTTCCGAGTGCTGTACTGAGTAGAACTTCTGTTCAATACATTGTGGAGAATATCGGTTACTGATTAACAAAACTCATATAATAATTTTAAGCCAATTATGATACTACCTACAGTCATGTGGACTGTCCTATGTTGTATAAGTGCACCTAAACTATTATGACATGCCTTCTTTGCATATGCCGAGCTGTAACACTTCTGGATATGACCTGGAACTTACTGAAGTCAATGGGAATTTTGCCTTCCTCTGCTAGAGCTAGCTATAATGGCAGCAGCTGATGTGAGACTTTTTCCAGCATTCTTGCCAGCACACGTATCACCACAGATCATGGTGAGGCTTTCTTTGATTTAATGTTTCCTTTTTCCACCATCTCCAATAGCCTCTCTTCCATTTCTTGCTTGCACAAAATGCGTGCATACCTATGCCCAAAAATGGACAGTTGTGACTAAATCCAGGAAGTCAACTGTTTGCATGAACCCTTGCTGCACATTCACGTTTGAAGCATGCAACTTGAGGAAGGAAACTTGAAATATTTGTAAAATTCCAATGGAGTCCAATGGAAAAAGCAAAGTACCTTCAAGTCTATCAGAATTTAGGAAAATACCTCCTGCAGTCTCTGGGGAAACCAACATGGAAGGACAGCTGCTTTGCTCAAAGTACTTACTAGAACATAGTAGTCAGTGAGTAGAATAACAGACGGCCAAAAGCCAAATCTAAGAGAGAGGTTTTCTTCCATAGCAAATATATGACCTCGTGTGCTAACTCTTCCTGAAGCATCCTAGATTGATATAAAATGAGAGAGCAATTAGATACCAGCAGTGCACAAAGTATCTAGTTGAAGTTGCTAATTATCATTGCAGCTTTTCTGGAAACATCCCATTGATGCATGCATATCTGGCATACGGCTGTATTAAATACTTCTACCTACAAAGGATTACTTACTGTCAATTTTGTAATTTCAAGTGAATTGGTGATTGTAAAATTGTAATCTCAAAGTGCTACATATGAAGGACATCTTGTCAGAGGTTCAGCCACTTGTGGAATATAGTGACCATTTATTGGCCACCATCACCACCACTTGTTTTCTGAAAGCTCAATTCTAGGTAATAGTCCATCCTAAAATATTTTGAAGCTTTGTTGTGCTTCTTTTCTGGTGTATTTGCTAGAAATTGATACTGATAAACAATAACAGTGCTACATTTATTCAACAGTTTGGTATTTCTGCATGTGTAACGCTGACACCTTATCTTCCAGTACATAATAAATGGTTTATTTAGAGTAAAGGATTTAGTAAGTTTTGTGTGATTACAGCTAAGACAATATTTAGACAATCCCAGAAACAATGTACAGCAACTGAGTATTTGTATTTTCTCCAGGTACCTAACTCAAGTTAATGCTTCATCTTCCCTGCTTTCCCAAAACTATTCAGTTACTAGATGTAACAGTGATTTATGACTGGAGGGGAAAGGAAATTAATTTTCTAACAATCCCATTCAGTTATCTGATAACAAGGATGTATTTGCAAACAGACTATTGCTATGCAGGCCTGTATAACCTTCCTCAAATGTTACTCAGTTTTGTGCATATGTTTTCATCATCATTAAAAAAACCAAACCACTTATAAAATGCAGCTTTCCCAGGTAAAGCATCACAGAAATTGGTAGCAAGCAAGGAGGCAGAACACTGGAAGTACAGAAAGGCCACTAGAGAAAAAAAAAAAAAAAAAAAAAAAGAGCAGTATCACTCTTGTCCTGTGAGAAATAATGCCTAGCTGGATTCCACCAAGCAGGACAAAGTTGACTTTCCCATTACTATTGTGCAAATGTGCAGAATGTTAGAACAGTCTGATAGAGTTCTTCAAAAGCCACTTGAAGGTACAAAAATAAAATATAGTACCAAGAACAGAAGCATTCACTGAAAAATGTTTTGTTTTTTTTTTCACCCAGTAATCTAATATCACTTAAGTCTGATATTCTGGGAAACAGAAACCTTATTCACTGTCAGCCTGTAAGAGATCATAAAAAGAATTTCAAATAGATAATCAAAGACAGCATTCCAATCTTCCAGATCCAGTTCCTTTGCCTTCTGAACTAACATGATGCTACTTCCTATTCTCCTTGATCAAGCACAATTATTTTTTTTTCCCCAAGACAACTTTAAAAGTTAATTGTTGCCTGTTACTAAAAATAATGTATTTTTGACCAATTACTTGCTTTTCTGTCATGTCTTATTATATTTCTCATGAAAAATTAGAATTCTTTCTTTTGTCCAGACGCTTTACGAATGTTTTAGTGTTCAGCAGTCAGTGTTTATTAATTTAATAAATCCTTTGGTTATTGTAATTGGACAAATATGAAAGGAAGCCTAGTGTCATGTATTTTGTCCCTAGTTATGTGATGCAGAAGGGTGACAGAGCAGACATGACAACATAAAAATTCAATACAAAGAATGCCAACAGGTATCTTACCTGGACAACCACATCTATGTGATGGAACCCTTCACTGTAGTTTTGCGGGCTCCACTTCAGTATATAGAGAGGGCCAGACACCTGATGTGCATTCCCCAAGTAAACTCCGTCTATACGGACTTCGACAGAGATAATGACAGAAGGAGAGAAGGCCAGAATTCTAAGGAGTGAATAAAAAGCAAAATAAACAGATTTGTTACATGACTTGCAGGTTTGTCATTACTTCCTCAAGAGAAGTCCCTAAAAGATTGTGCTACCTTGTACTTAAGAGTTCAAAAGAGTTAGAAATTAAAATGGTGAAATATCTATAGGCTAATGCTAATATGGTAGCTCTTTCCTACAGTTAAAAAGAAAAGTTCTGTTTGATATTGTGCAAAAAAGAATAGGGTAGAAAACTGGGCTGTGGAACAGATGAAAGAGTGGCAGAGATCCTCAGGTCCTGGCAGAAATAATCTTAGAGCTCTTGCTGTCAAAACATTTGCTAACACAAGTGAGATGCATCCTCCTGCACACACAGAGACACATAATGAAATACTTGTAGATATTGTCATTAAAAATTGCCAGTCTCTCTCTCTAAAGTCCTTTGCTGTTGGGTGTGGGTGGTGGTCTTCTTTTTTTTGTTAGTTTTGTTTTTTACTTTTTGCTAGTCAGAATATAACCTCTCAGTCTTCGAATTTATGAGAAATGGAGGGGAACACAAGACTGGTATTACAAATCTGAGGTACCAACAAACGTAGTATCATTTGGCAGTGCTTATATCCAGAGAAACAGTGATACTAATATAGACTCGATATACTGTGCATGTAATTTCTTTTATTTCTCCAAATACAAAAGGCATTCCAGAGCATGTTTCAGTCAAATGAAGGACTCTCATACAGTTATGGTGAATGATTCTACCAGTTAATATACTTTAAATAATCATAAGAATGTTCTGATAAGGTTCTAAACAGGAAAGTAGGTAGACTTAGTAGGACGCTGCTTCCTAACTGAAAAGTATGATGAAGTTCTTTTGATTGTAATTCTGTGTATGCAATATACGAATATATTTCATGCATATTGGTCTAAGAGCAAATATAAGATGTTGGGAAGGGCATAGAAATTTGAAATACAAATGAAAAAAATAAATAGAAAAGGTAGAAATGGAAAGATGGAGAAATTGAAAACAAATATGAAAATTGGCAAAGGCTTAAGATGTTTTAATATACAAGGGATGTAAAATTGAAAACACAAGAGGCTAAGAAGTCCAAAGCAAATAGAGAAAACCCTTAGAAAAATACATAGACAAAAGTCCTGAAATCAGCAGAAACAATGTGAACATGCAAGATTAATAACACAGATTATCTGTTAATCTAATTCTACCAGCTTTGTTTACATAAAAAAGTTCAATTAACTTTAGGGGAAATAACTGCATAAATAAACCAAACATGAATTACTACTATATAATCTCCTTTTACCACAGATACGATACAAAGTGAGGTCTCAGGAACAATCTTCCAAAGAAAAGTGAATTCTGAGAACAGTGGATACACATTTTTTAAAAAAGTTTTGTGTATATACATATATCATAAATGTACATTATAACTGAGAAAGATATCAACTATTAAAACACAGTTAAATATTGTAAAATCAAGAGATTACAGAGTACCTGATATGAGTGGAATGAAGAATTTTGACTAGTGGTTCATGGGCAGAACTGCTGTAAAGGAAGGATTTGGGATTGGTGATGAGAACTACAGGCCATTCTTCAAATTTAAGATCTGCGAAGCTAAGGAGGTCATGATCAAATGCAAGAATCCGGTACCTACAATGAAAAGAAAAAAAAAAATCGTTCATAGAAACACTACTGCATGCACAGCTGACTTCCATGCTTCCTAAGTTCCTAAACAAAACTTGTTTGATTTATTTTCCATTTATTCTCTTCTGTAGTTGATCCTACATTAACCAACTCTGCTGTATTAACTATACAGCTGGCTATCTCTGAACAGGCTCATTTTATTATAAATCACTGAAGCACCACTCAAAATTCCAAATGTCAAGATCTATTGAATTTTGCACATGAATCAGATAGATAAACATTATGTTAAAGAATTCAGATTTAATGTACATTACTACAGTGTCTGGGTAGGCACTCTAGTTATGGACAGAGACCCCAGTGTGCTCTCTTCCTGTACACATACAAGTGTCTTTCTCAGGATTACTGCAGAATAAAAGCTAACATACTAGTAGACATTCCATGTAGCATTGGACACTTTTTGATATGCTGCTAAGGTAACATTTCTCAGGTAGACTATTCTTGTCTCTAAAATTCTAACAGCTGTTTCAGAGCGTGGTTATTTTGAAGGAGTGGTGCTGAATTTTATTACAATTTCTTTGTCTATTTTGAATAGTAAACACATGCTAAATGGATATTTAGATGTCCTCTTTTTAATTTCTAAATATCAGGAATGAATCAAAAAATTACTTGACTTAATTTACTAGCACACTGTTGGCATAGGGAAAAAAATCCCAATCTTGCACACAGAGACATTTTTCAAAAGCGTTAACAGTAATAACCAGTCAGGCAGATCTCATGCTTCTTTCAAATTCTCCAAACAGCATAAAAGGGAATCACAGTGTAACCAGGTAGGCTCCATATAATACTTTGCTCACATACGGTTTACTTACCTCCTATTATCCATCCAGTCTCCCAATTCAAGTTCCAGAGTGCCACCATGGTGTTGGCTGTGCAAGGCTGGCATCAGCCCACCCATTGTATGGAAATGTCCACATAAATAGGCTGTGGCAGAACTAATGAAAGAATATAAGAATTGTTATTATTTGGGTGGGAAGGAAATATTGCACAGACCTGGAAAGTGATACATGGGTATATGAAGAGAGGCAAGAAATGTACTTCAGACTAAAAACATACAGGGAAAAAAGAAAGATCTTACCTCATTAATGTTCGTATTCCTGGGGCTGGGGAGATGATTGTTGAGGTAGGAAAATGGCCAAACCAGATAGTATGATTGCTGTGCAGACTTTCTGTTGCCATCAAAGATAGCTCTTTCATTTGATTCTGAAATGGGCAGGTGTTTGAAAGACAAACAAACAAACAAACAAACAAACCTGTTTAACATCCAGGCTATTTGGCAAGAATAGCAAGAGGAAAGCAGAAAGATACGAAAGAATGCTTCAGGGACCTGTGCATGAACAAATCCTACTACTAGATGTATCCCTAAAATCTGATGTTAGAAAAGAAAGTGAAAACAAGACACTAACACCTTCCTCGCAACCTAACACAGGAAAAGTGCAATAAAAGGAAAGATTTGGGTAAACAATATTTCTATCCTTTCTACTGCTTATTTATATAGTCAAAGCCAACACGCTTGAATTGATTTTACAAACATCTTTACCTTACAATCATCATCCTTACTACCTCTTGAGCTGCTAGATGGCCTTTTATAGACATGACAGATCACAGAAACTGTACCGTATGCGTCAGTCATTTAACTGGATGAACTATGATGCTGAATCCTGAAAACATTACTCAGCCATTGCTGTTAAAGTTAAGCAAAAATAACACTTCACACAGCAGGTAAAATTTCTCTCCTTTACTTGTTTGGCTTCCTACATTAAATCAACCACTTACTGTCCAGAGAGACTCCCAATACCAATAAGATCTCAAAGTCTAACAAAGGAGACAGGAAAACTAAAACCAGAAAAAACCACAAATCCACTCTTTCACCATTTTGCAGATCACCTTTTAGGGTAACCTAGAGAACTATCAACCTATTCTTTTTCCTCCTACCTAAAAAGAAACGTTGAAGGGCATGAATAAAGAAAACAGAAATATAAGTATATTAAAAAGGAATGGATTCAGTATACTGTTCTGGGTTAGTGTAATGGGCTTAAGTGAAATTATATTTTCTTTGCCTTTATGAATTTGGGCTTTAAGAATATTTTTACCTAAGCTATGCAATCAAATCACTGATACAAATCCAATTTATTTTTCTAATTCCTGGCAGAGGTTCAATTCTCGAAAGTTACAGGTATCTACTTTCAGTTTTGTGCAAAAATCTGCAAATGATGCTCTCTGGACTCCTGCTGCTGGGTAATTAGCAAGCAAATGCTTTACTTCATGCAGCCAAGGACAGGAGCTCCAGAATCAGCTGCATTTCTTAGCTCTTTCAGAGTCTGTCCACAAATCTACTTCACCTACTATGGTTTACAGTAAACAATGAGAACAGTACTTGGCAATCTGACATCACCTTTCATATAAGTATCATCAAGTGCTTTACAAACACTTAATTAAATGTCGAGCCTCCTTTAGACAAGATTAGAGGGACAACATTTTACTTTTCATTAAGGCTGTTATCACAGGCAAAGTATGACATCTGTTTACCAGAACACAGTAACTCTCTGCCAACACTTCAGAAGAGTATCTCAAGAACAATAGTATATCAACAAACTGCAGAGAAAAATCAAAGGGAAGCAAAATGTTATCTAAGCTGATATGCGATTTAAACTTTAGGATGAATGTTATTCTTTCAAAACAATACCATGTAATTTTTATGGTCTCAGAAGATCAGACCTCACTTTCATAAATGACACATTTCTTTATAGCATTATCTTTCACATTATTCCATTGATAAGTGGAACTCTCATCTGTAATATTAATGAAAAAAAGCATCTAACAAAGCAAAAAGGAGTGAAATTAGAAAGTTTGGGTTTTTGTTTTTTTAAACTTTACAGCATATAAGGAAATTATCACTCAAGTCTAGATAAATGCCAAGAAACTACTGACAGAGTCCTTAAAATGTCTAATTTGACATTTTTATACTGGATTATTTCTTAAAAGAGAACACACAGATACTCTATGTGTTAAGTGACACACTTATTTTTCTAAATAAATGTCCCACATGCATAATAACTTAAAAATGTAAAGACTCTTTTAGATGAACACAATTTTTTCAGACAATTCTTTATAAAAACAAACAAAACAAACAAAGCCCCCAAACAAACTGCTATAGAAGTAAAACAGCCAGCAAAATGGAATGCCAAGACTTATACCGTGTTTAAAATCCCGAAGAAATTATAGGGTCTCTTAGGGCCTGGGCTGAGTGTGGCATCCACACAGATGAATGAATAGTTCCCAAAAGAGGTTGTGTGGATGTAATGGAAAGAGCCATCTTTACGCCAGGCAGAGTATTTCCTGCCAAAATAAAATGGAAATATTGCTGTTAGGAAAGCTTGCAGTATAAATGCACAATTTCTTGCATTAGATCTAGCTCCATCTTGTTACTGCAGTAAATTGTTCTCTTAAAAATCAATTGCATTGGAAAGTCTGTACTTCAAAGAAGATACACTACATGGGTCATATGTTAAGACAAGCAGCAGGTTAGCACATAAACATTAAAAAAAAAAAAAAAAAAAAAAAGTTAGCATAAGGACGCTTTCCCTGAGCAACATAGTACTTTTTTTACAGATAAAGGATAGGCCAGCAGTATAAACCATGCAAACCAAACAGGCAAGATGACAGGACAGTATGATCTTACACCACTCTTAATTAAAGGAGATCTGCAAAGGAAAAAAAAAAAAAATATTGTTTTGGGCTTACTGTTGGTATCTGAAAGAATTTTTCCAGAAGAATTTTTCCTTGCTTACCTAGAAATATCAGGGACATCAAGTCTTTCCTCCGCTATTTTGTTAGAGATTTCTTAAATTACTCTGATATAGAATGATCAGCTGTTGGTTAATGGAATATGATTCTGAACCAAAGAAATATTGAGCCTTTTCAGTTATTTTCCAAAAGATCCAAAACAAAGACACTACAAAACACCGAATCTTATAAATAGCAAAGAAGGCTGCATTTCCTCTTGCTTACTACTCTTCCTTTGTTTCTTGACAAAGCAAATCTTACCAGTTCTCCTGTCACCTGTGGAATGTCACCAGAATTCTCCATCCAAAGAGCAAAAGGAGAGAGCAAAAAGGGTTGCTGCTCTTTTGCACGTCACCTGATGTTAATAGAGCTCTTGAACTTTAATCTTAAAATAATCTGAGAACTGTAAACAGGGAAGGACTTAAAATACATGTCAACTAATTCCACCTTTTTTTTTTCGCCCCTCATAGTTTTATGCCAATATCAGCTATGATAAATTTATGTAATGATGAATATATACATTGCTTTCTCTCTTTCCATTAACAATGGATATTTCCAGTTTTTCTAACTTCTAAAATTGAAGTGCTTTTGATACTTTATGCTAGTTGGAAATTGCACATATCCTCCCCTGGAGAAGACAGATAACATTCCAACTAATGGTACCTATTAAATTGCTCAGTTAAGAATGAAATTCTGTAACTAAAATGATTGTAATTCTGAGATTAACTAAAATTTACTGGGTTTAACTAGGGGGGATTTTTTTGTTTTCTTTTGGGTTTTGGGTTGGGGGTTTTGTGTGTGCATGTGCTTGGTGTTTTTGCTTTTGTTTTGTTTTTTTAAAACTCCCTGCACAACATGTGGAAGTTAAAACATCCCTGAGTTCAGATGATGAGTACGGTTTGAACACAGCCATCCAGAAAGCAGTTCATATCACTATTCCTCCACCAATCAGAAAAAAAAAAAAAAAAAATTGCCAGAAAGGTTGGCCTGAACAGAATAAAAGCCAATATATTAAAAACAGGTTTCAGATATAAATCAATACTTCCAACACCATAAAGACCCTTCCACAATGTTTATATTTTTGAAGTTAATGTTACCTTTATGAACATCATGAACTTCAATAAGAAAACTGGAAGCTCAGAAATCCTAAGATTATTGCCTTTAGTCCCACTTAAAGTATGTGTAACAGTCGAACCATCCTCTGCTCATGCTGTGAACATAAAATAGGAACCCATGTTTTTGTGTAAAAATATTACTGTATTTCAGTACAACTGCTGCTGCTGTCTTTAATTTTAATACATAATGAACACCAGAATGTGGTGTTGAATACCTGTTTTCCCTAGCCTGTATTTTTATATCTGCAAGCTACAGAGCTCTAAGGTATACAGCAAAGAATGAATTATTGGTTCAGTATCACATAAAGGCAAGCAGACAGTGCCCTACTGTCACTCAGACAAAAACAAAAAGAAAAAAGACATTGTACTTTTGACTGTTTAACTTCACAGGGGTAGGGGAGAAAAAAAGGGTTCCACAAGACTCAACACTCTTCCATCTCCTTTCTCTTTTCCTAGAGTGTTACATTTACTAAACATTTTCTTCATCTTCATGTTTTATTAATGCATCGGATTAATAAAATTGTTCCTGTAAAGGTAGTTTGGCCTTTAGTGATGCTTAATAGCTTTTGAGGACACTTAGTGCCTTTCTTCAGTCTTGGATAGAAAATATGATAACTTTCATTAAAGTTTCTTTATTTTGCTATGATGACAGACTATTATGAAGCAAAAATCATTGTGAGAACACATTTGTTTAGCAAGACACTGTTAATTATTAAGCAAAGACTTTTTCACCTGACTCAGAATTTCACTCAGAAATTCTTAGGTTGACTAACTTCCTTTGAAATTTCACCTTAATCTTTCCCAATCCCTTTTGCTATCAGTGCATCGTCAGTGTGGACTAGAGGCAGATGATCCATATATCTTTCCAAACAGTAAGCTTGTCCAAGTTAAACCGCAATTCAGGGATGATCTGGCAAATTCACTGGTGCTACATCTTCCCGTGTGTGTCACTAAGGTTTCTGAAAGCAGCCTGAAACTAGAGTGGAAGACTGATACTGGTTTGTCACATAGCCACAACTGTGGCAAAAGATATAGGATGTGCACTGCACTACTGCATCCAAAAGCCTTGTTAGCACCACATATTCATCCCTTCATGACAAATCCACATGTGAATTCCATGTTCTCCTGCAAATACAGCTGCTGGAGGATCCTATCCCAGAGAATTTATGGGAAAATGTATCTGCTCCTCCTGGGCCACAGGGAACTGAAGCAAACTGAACTATCAGATGTTTAATCTGTGTTCTTATTGCAAAGTGGATGGCTTAAGAGCCTGAATTAAAGTAGAATTTAGATTTCCAAGTCTTCCTCCAGTTCCAAAGAGTCAGAGCTGAAAGCACCACCAAAATTATGAGACAAGATTTTGTGTTCAGATGCGAAGGGCAGGAGGAACTGAGAGTTAAACACGAGTTACAACTGAGGCTACCTTTTCAATGTACAAGCAAAAGAGCCAGCTGAAGAGGGGAAAGTTTCCTCAACTATCTTCACATTTAAATCTCAAGCGTGTTCCTCAAGAACATTTGTCCACCCATCATCATCACCTGCCTTCTTGCTTCTCTACTTTCCGTTTTCTAAAATGACTCAGATGTGAAGAATGGCTCAGATAAAATTTAGACCTGTATGACATGAAAAGCCCTTTTATGCATGCTGAAAGAACATTTTTTCTTGCTTTCTTTTTCTTTTTTCATCTATTTTAAGGAGGAAAAGCATTCTTAGAGAACACTGGTTTTATAGAAATATACCATACAACTGTTCTGAGGAAACCTAACACATAATGCACAGAACATTTCCTAGACACAGGCAGATTTAGAATACATGCAATTACAAAACACAGAGGGATAAGAGATAAGTCTGTGCAAAGAATTCTCTATTTTCTCAACCTATTCTGCTCTACTAACTGGCAATGGAAAAGACATAGGGATTAGCAAATATGAACCTGGACTATAGGAAAGTCAATGAAAAAGCATGTATGTGATAATATACAGAATATTGTTTAGTGAGTTTGACCTTCAATATAATGGAATCTGTATGGTGAATAAAAGTACCTGTAATAATTCTGAACACTATCCAGGTGTGGAATGTTGAATGAATCTGTAAAGGAGAGAAAAAGGAAGTGAAGAAACTTTCAGATATAACTGATCATTGACCTCTGTATTTTATTTCCTAATGTTGAGATAAAGCAGCCTCAGCAGGCACTGAAAAGCTATATTTTTTTAAAATGCATAATTGACAAGCAGACTGTCTAACTGTGCAGAGAGGGCATTATATACTCGATGCAGTTGACCTAAAAGTGGCAACAGTTTTCTCATTTAAGTTTCAATTCAAAAAGTTGGTGTGGGAATGTAGATTGTCAGTTAGTGACTAAAAGCTAACCACGTGTATCCACTATGGCCATAAGGCTTTTCAGAAGCTTTTCAGATGCTTTTCAGATTGGGTGCATTCTCTATAAGACAAACCTAACTCATCCAAGGAAAATAAAGTAGCAATAGCATCAGAGAATAGCATGTGTAAAACAGACAGCAAGTTGGGGAGGTTCGTACTGTAACTGGGGTCCATTTCTCCATTAAAGCTGGTAACAGAAACCTGATAGGTAAATGGGAGTAAAATGCCATATAGGGGCTGTATATGACAAAGCATGCACTCTTTTTACCCCTTGCTAGGCTTCGTAGTTTTGCCCTTCCTGTAACAGCTGGCTTAAACAGCCTGCAGGATTGTTAGCTTGTGTTTGAATATTTAGAACGTAGCAACAACTGTGATGTGTACAAACTTCCATGAGTTCTTTCTATTCAAAAGAAGCCAAATTTCCTTTAATTGCTGAATGTGTGATACTTTTTAACTTAAACCTGTGGGGGGAGGTCTATGAAAAGTAAATTGAAGCCATTTCTTCAGTAGGGTAAGGTTACAGTTTGCCCTTCCATTAAAAGATGGGGTATATAAACTGACAACCTGGAAACTAACATCTGAAGCTACGTTCTACCACTTGCCAGGCAAAAGCAATAAATGCGTGGATGGCGAGCCCTTCTACTGACTCACAACCACCACTAACATGCTAGTAAGTACTAAGACTTTACCTCTATATTCTAACTTGCCTAAGTCAGCTCTGTAATCACAGGGGGAAAAAAAAAAAAAAAAAAAAAAAAAAAGTTTCATTTCCTTCTTACCATGATTGCCTTTGATGTCTATCCACTTGGTTTTTTCCATGACCCTTGATCTCTTCAGGATCAACTGGTAAGTTTTCCATTCTGCTTCTACCTGCTCAGATCCCAGTTTATCTCTTGTCTTGGCATCTGTCAGGTCACCTGAAAGCACACAAAGGTGAGATATAACTACAGGCCTACACAGCTTACAGAAATACTGTAACTAAGCAAGCATGCAACCCAAGCCTCCTCGTGTAAGTGGCTGCAGGCCTCTGGACGTTCCTCTCATCTGGTCAAAGAGGCTACTGTAAGGGTAAATGCCTTCTAATGCAGATGCAGCAGCCTGTTCAAACATCTGTCAACCATGTCACTGCAGCACTTTTACTAATGTGATGACAAAGTAAAGAAAATTATTCGTTATACTTGAAGATTCTAGTCATAGAAGCTCTGTTTAACGTTACACCTTCTGTATCCCCTCAAGCTCCAATTAAAGTTCAAACCATTCTCATTTCTTTTCACATAGTAATGCCTCCGTGCATTGCTAGTTAAAAGATGAATACTAACTATTTCTGAATTCTCAACTTAAAAAGCAAGCAACAGATAAGTAACTCTCTATAGAAACAAAATTCCAGGTCTAGCATTAAGATTCTAAAGCCCTGCATATAGTAACAGCTCAAAGTCTTTTTTATTTGCTTGCCAAAACTCAATCCATTTCAATGGCAATAGCAAGCTACCAAATTTCATCTGTCTTGGTGAAATGCTCAAATGGAAACCAGCAATGAAATCTTATATTAGTTCTTAAATTAGATGAATTTCATACAAATGAGTAGGTATTGTTCAGAGAGAGGAACTGGCTCTTAATGACTAATCAGAGACATTGCTCATTTTGTAATTTCAAATACGAAGTATGATGTAGAATCACTACCAGGAGGACAAGAAGGAAGGTAGCTGCTAGCAAGGACTAAGGTGTAGCGACAAATACTGGGAAAACAATAGCTATATTGCATAATTATGTATACTGTTATGTATAGTACACACTAAACTCACCATCAGACTCAAGACATTGAACAAAAACTCATTCTCTTGAGTTGAGAAGTTATTTCCTTCTGCTTCTAGCAGTCTAACTTCAGCTGCAATTCCATTCCCATTGGTTAAGATACATTAAGGCTTTAAAGCTCTCGCTTGAGATGCCAGAATTTTGTTTTTTTGCTCTTCCTTTGACAGCACATTCAACAGGAAATTCACACTTTTGAATTGCTTACCTGTTGCTAGAACAAGTGCTGGCTGGATTATATCAATTGTTTCAGAACAGAATTTTTCCAAGTCAGGAGCTCGTTTGGGATCCCGAAATTTACTGATATGAATATCTGATACCTGCAAAAGAGAAAAATGAAACACTGTCCCAAGCAGAGGGTTATTGCTGCCCAGGTTGCTCTGGAAAGCCAAGTACATTAGTGCAACGTAAGAGCAGTCATGGTGATTCAAATCAGTAGAAGGGATACAGAGAGAAATGGAAGTGGATGACGAGGGGAGAACAAAAGCAGAGCAAGCATATGATATTGCATCTCTAACCCCTAAAATCACATTTACATCAAGAAAATTTCCTTAAATCTAAAGGCATACAATAACGTGGGGAAATACTTAGCTATCTACAGTAAGTTTTAATGGCTCTAAGTGGCTTGTTGACTTTCAAATTCTGTGAGGTCCTGGTGCAACGCAGTGATCTTGCTGCAAGAGAGAATACTAAATAGTTCTGCAAAGCAGGAACAGGTTAAAGTTACCTAGAACTTGAAGAATACTGATTACTAATTTTGTACCTGGTCTGACATTTCCAGTAACTGGGTGGAAGGATTTCTAACATTCTACCCATGCATTTTATTGGAGCTAAAGAGTGTGCTTAGATCCCATTCCATGTGCCTTCATGAAGGCAAAGATTGCCCAAGAAATAATGACACCACTTGTACATAACTCTAAAAGATGCTGTTCATTTCTGAACCAAACAGTCAAAGCCGACATCAGAAGAGCCGTATGGGGCGGGATGGGGAGAATAAGAAAAGTGAGATTTTTTTTTATTTATTTATTTTTAATATTGTGGCTTTTCAGGCCTGTCCAAAATAAATCTTGGCTGAATGCTTTCAATTCCACTTTCCATTTGACTTCAATCAATCCATTATTAAATTATCCTCCTCAGTTTAGACAAATGGTATTTGATGCTCAAAAACCAGCAAGCACATGCTTGTGGCCATCTGATGATATCACTACCTGAGGAAGAAAAACATTAACTTTTAGATTCAATTTAATAAACTTGGCTCTTGTAAAGCTTTTTCCTTTTTGAAAAATCCCAATAAGATACCTTAGCTTCCACTTACTCAGTCATTTGAATATGTAGAAAACATTGCCTGAATACAGGCAAGGAAAATTCCCCATTTGCTTATATGGAACTTTTGCCTAGATCAGAATTGGATGCTAAAAGAGGTAAACACTTTCAGACATAACCTTAACTTCATTTTTATTGATACATTCAAGGTAATGTGAATCAAAGAGCACGGTAAAACTACCTCGATACATCAAACCCAATTTAGTGAAGGATACAGTATCTTATTTCACTTCTCCTCAGCCTGTGAATTCATCTATCTCAGCAATCAAACAGAGAAAATAAAAACTTCTTTTGCTGCTGTCTCCAGATTCTTCAGCAAAAAGTCTTACAGAAAACCGTACTCCTGTCCTACCAATAACTACTGAGAATGTAAATTTCCAGCATTTTAGCAGACAGCGGTTGGGAAGCCTGATTTTCTAGAAAGATCTTTCCACTTTTTTCCCCTACTATGATAAGAGTTTAAGATTATAAAAGGCTTTTCTTGTAAGTTCTAAGAGCTACAGTATCCCAGGACTTCTGAGAGCTGGGACTAAGTTTCTGTCATTACAAAAAGCCAGGAAATATGAAGATTTGGGGAGTGGAGCTTCTCCCATTTTCTTAAAATGAACTTCAAAAGTTGTCCCAATAAAAGGGAAGTCAGTGGGCAAGGGGAAAAGCTTGCTATGTTCTTATTTAATTTCCCCGAATGTAGGTAAAAGCCCACTTGCTGCATTTCTTCTCTCTTTCCCCTCCCTCTGACCAATGTGGAAGCCTGGCCTCTCTCATTGCATCATAGACAGTAACTTCCATCAAAATAGGTTGGAAGAGATTTAGGGGTGAGGAAAAATCACCATCCATATTCCCTTTCTAGAGAAGATGTGGGTCAGGAAAGGCAAGCATTAACAAGGGAGAATTACAAGGCCTACAGCATCAGTAGGATGCATCCAGCTGACAAAAATAGTAGAAAAATCAACTGTAAGCTTGTGAAATATTGAACTAGAGTGCCCATTAGGTACTGGTTAAGAAAGGAAGTTCTGCTATAAGAAAGGTGACAAGAGACATTAATACAAGATTATAATACAAAGATTGCAATTTAGTTCAGTTTAAGAAGAGAAAGTCCTGTGGATGGGAGGAAAATCAAGGCAGGAACTGCTGGGGGCAGAACCAATCATCTTGAGCTCTATCCAAGTGACCTAGGCTAGACCTGTGGAGTCACCAGGGAGCCTGAAGCCTGTTTCCCACAACATCATCAGGCACAAAGCTGGATTTAGTGCTTGGTTAATTTCCAAGTTAGGCCAATGATAAAGCAGCTGTTAAAGGGTACGTCTGAAAGAGAACGTAACCACTTGAAAGTAAAGCCAAGTCTCAAATTAGCTGTGCTGTGACCTATCCTTGGGAGAACTCCACTTGAAGTAACACAACCAGAGAGAACACGGCAAGCGATGCATGGAGCTGCACATGCTGCTTCTCTGCCTATCGCTGCAGCTGCTATACGCTGCTGTAGTTGACTCTCTTCAAGACACAGCAGCTCCAGATAGCAGCTTTATCTACATTAATTCAATCATATCTTTCATCTTGAAATCTGGTCTGCAGTAAAGATAAGCCTTAGGTCACTTAAGGAAAATTTACTAGGAAAACTGACTTTCAAAATACATCGCAATTGAAGAGAACAAAAGGACTAATAGTACACCAGCTTATGCACTAAAAGCATCGCCTGCAGCTAATACATTTAGGCAAAGTGTCCTTGAGTTTGAGGACAAAAGCAAAATAGTATTTGCTAGCAGAAACTGCACAGCAACTCCTGTGACATTTCAGCCATCGATTACCTGCATATAAACTGACTTTCAAAATACATCGCAATTGAAGAGAACAAAAGGACTAATAGTACACCAGCTTATGCACTAAAAGCATCGCCTGCAGCTAATACATTTAGGCAAAGTGTCCTTGAGTTTGAGGACAAAAGCAAAATAGTATTTGCTAGCAGAAACTGCACAGCAACTCCTGTGACATTTCAGCCATCGATTACCTGCATATATGTAAACAGCTTGCAGTTACTTATACATTAAGCACTTCAGGAATGCTCGGGGGGGGG